GTTTTTATTCAACTTTTTTACAATCAATTCACCCGGTAGAATAAAAAGACGCCAACTTACATCACTTGATCTCGTTTTCTGCTAGTTTTATAGATGTTTTTCTATTTTTGGTATTTTAATTACTGTAGAAATTCCAATTCTCAGTTGTAACAACCGTTCCAAAATGAAATTCTTCTATGCTCTACCTGAGAACAACAGCAATTAAGAGATGGTTTCACGTTCCTTAAATCTCCCGATCAAAGCCCTCGCTGCCAGATGTAGTTTATCATCATATCCAGGACGCTTGGCTTTCTTGAGACATATGGATTCATCAGCGAATAATCTAGGTAAAATGACTCATAAATCTATGGCCGGTAATTGTCGCAGTGATTTTGCTCTTGTCTTGGCTGAGTATTAGATGGTGAAATGCTATGGCAGGTACCTTGTTTTGAATTATTGCACTCAAATCAGTTTACATATGACAGCAAAAACGTTAAGCAAAAGAGTTCTTTCAGTGAGACAATTGCTGACGGTTTCTCGTTAAACAATATGGCTTCGGTAACAATATGTTTGTTCTTATATACAGACTGATGTTAGTCACCCAGTGATAGATTAGTTAAAGTGCAAGGTAACTATGCTTATTGCAGACAGTAATCAGATTTTCTATTTGGCCATAAATACAAGACACAGCTCTGATAACCGACTGATTTGCAGGTTTTATTATGCCCGCTGGCTTTTGATTGAATAGTCGCCATTTTATGTTTAATAAGTGAATCGATAAAGTGTAGCAAGATTTGTAATCATTTACTGCAATGTTTTAGTAATTAGAAATAATGTTAAATTTATTTTTAAAAAATAGTAATTGCTTAAACATTACGTTTACGCATAATGCGACAACTATCTACAGGGTGCCCAGTCAAAAAGCTGTAAATTCAGAAGGACGTGAAATAACCGCTGAAAACTGGTGACGACTAATGTGAATGAAAAATACAGAAATAATTTCTGCAATATTTCTTTAAATCACCACGTCGGATGTTCTTTGAAATGTACGATAACTTGACAACAGTGAGTTGTTTAGCCGTACGAAAATGGCAGAACGAAAGAGGAAAGTTGTCTGCAAAGTACGTTTAAATGACGAGTCACAATCATGAAAGAACCAATCAGCGTTAAGTAATTACGAAAGAATGAAATGGTTATTCAAGGTCATGAATATTCACGAATTTTATTCAAGGCTATTCAAGGTTAATTATTCCTGAATGATTAAACAGGGATTAAGAATTTGCAGCTTTTTTTACTCGGTACCCTGTATATATCTATCTCGTTATTGAGATTAGGAGGACAATACCATTTCGGGTATTTCGACAATACCATTTCGGGAATTTCGCTTCACAATGAAGAACATTCTTTTGAAAAACATATCTAGTGATAATAAATGCTTCTTTCATAATTTGTCTGTGAACATATTGATGAAGTAATGTAGCTCTTAAGCTAAAATTAAATATCTCTGTCAGTATAGACGTATTAACCCTTATGTGAATATACATCTGTTCCTCTTCCTATCTAAGTCTGTCAGTAAATTATATCTATCTATTTCTCTCTCTCTCTCTCTTTTTCTCTCTCTAATATATATATATATATATATATATATATATTAACTGATTTAAAAATATGGTTTCGTGGCTACACAGGAATTACCATGTTTCAAAAACAGAAAACAAATACTTCAAATTCAATTGTATTCGATTGAAGATGAAACAGAACTAATGCTTTTAAATTCACATAATTTAATTTATTTTCTTGTTTTCTGTATTTGAAATATGGTAATTCCTGTTTAACGATGAAACCATTTTTTAAATCAATTAAATTATAATATATATGCTCTGTAAATTTACATTGAGCACTATTTTGTAAAAATAAAAATATCAATAAGAACACCGTATTACATATCTTACTGTCCTTCCTTTTTTTACTATTATATATATATATATATATATATATATATATATATATATATATACAGAGAGAGAGAGAGAAAGTACTGTACATTGAAAAATAGTTCTTGATGTATAATAACAGAGCTAGAATTTATACTACTAATAAATGTGTTTCTTTAGCTGTAGCACAAATTTGAGTTTCATGCACGATGCAATCGACAGTTGCTGATCTTTGTAAAATTGAAATATATACGCTATTGTCATGAGATATTTACTAACCCACACACCGAAATAAATTGAAAAAGTAAAATCATCCATGATAATGGCTAAAATTATAAACGAGAGCGCTTGGAATTATAGAACATTTGGACACTTTCTACAGACCCTGTGTCCCAAAAAGAAAGCACTTGTCCGAAGAAAAATTTAATTAAAGGCTTAATCTTAGTACCTTGTCTGTCGTAACATGTATAAATGAAGAATTGCTGCCTAAATACACAATACATACATACATACATACATACATCCATATATATATATATATATATATATATATATATATATATATATATATATATATATACACGAAGGGCGGCTGAGATGTTCATAGGTAGACCAAGATATAGATTCGAGTAATCACACAGTTAGTATATTTGCAGTCTTTGTACGTTTCAATTTTTCACCCAATACTCGTTATAAACGATTTCGCAACATTCTCGGGGCTATAGACTTTATTTTAGCACCCAGCGAAAAGAGTGATAGCACATATTCTGAAAAATCGGTTTAGGCATAAAGCTTCTAGTCCAAGTAATGTTGATTCTTATGTTCATACTATATATATATATATATATATATATATATATATATATATATATATATATATATATATATATATTAGTACTGTTTAAAAAAACTCGAATAGCTCAACTGGCAGATATGTCAGGACAAATCGGTACACGGGGAGAAAATTGGAAATAATAAAAGAAAGAACTAAAAACATCAGAACAAGACGAACACAACTGCCAAGAATGCGTAGAATAACAAAAATGTAGAGTGCTCAATACGCTAAGTAGACGGATAAGTAGGATAAATACTAAGGAGCCAGGGTAAACTGAAAATTCCTTTAGGTGTAAACCTATGGAGGTTTGCCTCCTTACAATTTATCCTACACACACACACACACACACACACACATATATATATATATATATATATAAAACTTATATTTTACAAAAAATATGTATGGAAGCACGTGTATATATCGGCATGTGTTTACATTTTTTTTAGGAATATAATAGCATACGTCTTAATATATAGAGAGATTGTAATAAAATATTTTTAATTAACTCTGTATATATATATATATATATATATATATATATATATATATATATATATATATCGGCATTTAATGAGCCCCTGATCATTGCATCATGCATGAAACTCAGAATTGTGTTAATGGTGAGAAAAAAAAAATATATTATCATTATTATTATTAATAATATTGTTTTTGTTGTTGTTATTATTATTATTATTATTATTGTTGTTGTTGTTGTTGTTGTTGTTATTATAAGAAATTATAATAAAAACATTTTAAGTCGCAACATAAATCTTTCTGGTTTCAATACTATGATTATACTTCCTCAGGCGATCGTTGGTAACTGTTACCAGCCATCGCCTGAGGAAGTACAATTTGCATATATAAATGATATATATTATCGATGCGAGAACATTGCTGATCACGACATGCTGAATTGTCCCTTTAAGCCACACCTTGCCTTAAAGGTACTATTCAGCTTTCAGATTCAGTATTTCTCTAATTTAACTATTTGACATAGAGAGACACATAGATCAATACGAAGCTTTATTTGTAACTTAATATTTGTTACTTGAATACATCGAGGTCAACCCGAACCTCTTATATGAAACTGTTGCTATTGGCAGCAACAATAATTGGAATCATGACGTCAACCCTTCTGTCCCTCACGCACAACTACGACAGACTAAGAATAAATAAATACTACCCCATATTTTAAAAAGTAGGTTTCATGTAAGTTTTTCTCCTGGCATTGTAAGAAGCGAACGCTTGCAAAAAGGTTGACAGTTGCATAAAGAAACCTGCGCATAACCACGAAAGAACTGGTTACAGAAATTAAAATTGGATTCGTTCCAAAAGACGAGACTTTTCTAAAGGTTAGCAAGAGTTCTTCTTGCTAACAAAGGGAATCATCGGTAAGAAAAAAAATAGACTGGAATGGAAAAAGAATATAAACGGCCTTTGGGAACCTTAACAGATGGAAGTATTTCGCCCAGGGCTGAGGTAAAGAATTAGAAATAAAGGTTGACACCGGCCAAAATTTTCAAGAGAACTAAAAGAGGACAGGAAAGGGAAACAATTGGAAGAAGTTCGTAAAAGTTTGAAGAGAAGGTTATGAGTTATGGAAAAACGAACGCAAGACGCATTAAGCTAAGAATGTGGGACTAAAGAAGAATCGGAAAAAGTTGATTCTTAAGCGTAGAATGAAATTGGAGGGCGAAAATTAAGGAAATAATAATAATAAACATGCATAGAAGACCAAAGACAAAAGGAGATGATCGAATGAAGAAAGTAATGAAAAGATCGAAAATTGTAATGTAAAAAGAAAGAAAACTAAGAGATTAAATGAATAAAGGAGAAAAACAAATATAGAAATAATTTAAAGAAGAAAGAAATAAAGTGATAAAGAAAAGCAGGGAAATAAAAGGTGGGTGCTCAAAAAAGGCCATGAGGAAAGAACGTGAAAAAAGAAAAACTAAAAAAATATTTTGCAACGCTAAAAAATGTCAAAATGGAAAGGAAACAAAGAAAGATTAAGAAATAAATTTGGAATGACAAAAGAAGAATAAACAAATGATGGGAAGAAGGAATAAAAAAAACAAAGAAAGGAAATTAATGAAATGTTAATGTTGAAAGAATGACAAAATATGAAATATAGAAAGAAAAAAGGAAAAAGTAAGAATAAGAAATAAAAATAGAAATGATCAAAAAAACAATAAGAAATGAAGGAAAGAATGAATAAAAACAAAAAAAAACATTTTAAAATTTAATTCTTAAAGAACGACAAACAGATGAAATGTAGAAAGAAAGAAAGAAAGACAGAAAGAAGGAAAAATAAGAGCTAAGAAATAAAGTTCGAATGACCAAAGAAGAATAAAAAATATGATGGAAGGAATGAACAAAAAAAGAAAGAAAATCAATGAAATTTTAATGGTGAAAGAGTGACAAAAATATGAAATGTAGAAAGAAAAAAAGAAGTGTAAAAAATAAAAATAGAAATGACCAAACAGCAATAAAAACTGAAGGAAAGAATGAGTAAAAAACAAAATGAAAACATTTTAAAATTTAATACTTAAAGAACGAAAAACAGATGGAATGTAGAAAGAAAGAAAGAAAGAAAGAAAGAAAGAAAGAAAGAAAGAAAAATAAAAACTAAGAAATAAAGTGGGAATGACAAAAGAAGAATAAAAATGATGGAAAGAATGAATAAAAAAGAAGGAGAATTAATGAAATTTTAATATTGAAAGAACGACAAAGGTATAAAATATAGAAAGAAAAAAAGAAACAAATAAAAGTAAGGAATAACATTAGAAAGGGCCACAGAAGAATAATAAAATGTAGGAAAGAATGAATAAAAAAGAAAAAAAGAAAAGAAATGATATAACATTAAATTAATGCTTAAAGAACGACAAACAGACGAAATATAGAAAGAAAGGTGGAAAGAAAGCAAAATAAAAACTAAGAAATTAAGATGGGATGGCCAAAGAAGAATTAAAAGAAAAAAGAAAAGAATGAATGAAGCAGCTGAAAGAACGACAAAAAGAAGAAATGTAGAAAGAAAGAAAGAAAGAAAGAAAGAAAGAAAGAAAGAAAGAAAGAAAATGGAATCATTAAATAAACTTTAATTCAGAAGGAATATCACAGATAGATGGAAAGAAAAAAATGACAATGAACGACAAAGAAGAAACATTGAATGCAAAAAATAAGAGATCGTGAAAGAGAAATGAGAGAATGATGGGAGAAATAAAGAATCCTGAAACATAAAATCGCAGAGTCAGTAAGACTATGAATTGTGTTTTCAAAAAATGAAAGAGATGAATGAGAGTGAAAGAGTAGGGAAAAAAAGAAATAAAATATTAAGAAGGAAACTGAGACAAACAGGAAGTTGACAAATTAGATGACTAAATAACAAAAGGATAATGGAAATGCTGAGGAAAAAGGGACGAAACGAAGGACAAAATGAAAAAGAAAGAAGAAAAAAAATAGAAAATCCAATGTATAAAAAAACAGCGATTTGAATTTTTTTAAAAAGTAACAGTGCACTAATACAAATGGAGACATTCTTATTTACAGTTAACCAAATAAAACGAATGATACTCTATACAAATAATGAAATAAATAACTCCGTTTTCCAGACAGAAGAATTAAGCCTACAGCAATTTATACGCATGAAAATCTGTAAGATAATAAACATATATGAAGAATTAATAGATTTTTTTTTTTATCCGATATTATTTTTGTTACTTTAAACGTTACTTTTAGTGGATTCACATATTTGAGCAGACGTTTCGTTTGGTTTAATCGTTATTTAATTCGTCTACCGGACTGCATATTCAAGAAATCTTTTTTAAAGAAAATGCACCGACTGATACGATTCGAACCCTCAGACGTCTTAATAGGAGAAACCGATACTTGATCCGTTTTGTTTTAACCGATGCTCTACGAAGACCTTCATAATCAATCAAGGTTCTATTTGCTTTTAAAACACACTTTATTTGTTCTGATTTGCTCGAAAAATATAACTGCTCAGAAATGTAAACAAAGTAATTAATAGGTTCATTTTTAATCCGACATATTTTATAGCTTTAAATTAACGAAATTATTCAGCATTCATTTCAGTAGAGAAAAACTCATATATCATAAAATTTCATATGCCTTTTCTTTGTTTCTAGTTATTAATATTTTGTTTACCTTTTGGAAGGCAACATTCGTTATTATAATGTACCTTCGGATTTCCCTGATATATCACACAATAAATTATATTGCAACTCTTTTAAAAACTACTCTTTTAATTACTTCATGCCCTCTGTGGTCAAAGCTATAATTTAGTTTTACATTCCTCATGACAGGTATATGTGACTCACTTGCTAAATAACGCCCAGTTAGAATCATGAGTTGTAAAATCTATGATACCCACAAACAAAAAGCAGAAATGGTAAAGTTATTTTCCTGACCTATCATTTCGCCTTCCTTCACTTTCCCATTGTCTGCGCCTTTTCTATAAATATATTCATAGTAGTTGATCTGGTGAGCTTTCCTCTTTGGTACCTAAACTTTATTAAATTAAGCGCTCTACTTGATTGGCGGTAAGGTCCCATCAATTTACATTTGAAATGGCTAGATGCAACGATCATTTCTATACTAACAGTTTCTTCTCTCGCTCTTTTCTGTTGTTGAAGTTGCTTCAGGCCTCTTTTAAACTTTGATCTCCAAAAATTTAAATGCAAGTCAATCATTATCTTCCGTAGTCTTAATTGTTGGCCCTGCTTAATAATGTTTTATTTTTATCATATATTCTCTCACCCAGTAACCTCTAGTGTCTTAGTGGCTTTATTGTCTTGCTTGTAGTGAAATTATTTTTAAAAAAATCGTGGTTGTATTAAATTCCCTTAGAACTATATCCCTAAAGTTACGAGTTCGATACACATTCTCAATTTGTGTGGCTTTGAAAATTATATATCATCGATGATTGCATCAGGCTTTTATTACGCCCAGGCACTATTGTTTCGACGATCAATTAGTTGTCCTACGGCAAAAACGTACGAAAACTGTAACAGTGCACGAACACACAGGCAAGCATTACCAGCGAGCAAATCAAAGTACTATAGACTGACCCGGATACTCTCCTGATTTAAATCTAATCCAGAATCCGTGTTAAATATACAAGGAACGATTTCATGGAATGGACATACAAAGTACTAACATGGGTAATGTTTCATTAGAAAAATACCAAAAAAAGTTTATAGTTACCAATTTTTTCGTTTTGTTTTAATTAATATACATAAGTATATATATATAATTTTCTGGTAAATCCTAATTGTTACAATAATGATTGAATAGACTTCTTCCGAGTTAAACGATTAAAAATTTGACATTGGATTTCTCTTATTGCTTCGTGAAATATTCGAGTTTAATAATTTGTGCTAAATATCAGAATCATAAATATCATATTATCTGAAGAATCAAGATTATCTAGATGAAAAGATTCGAAGTTGACATTTTTCGATTTCACTGCAGCAGAAAAATATCAGTTAACCGTGTCCTTTTATTATGCAGCAAGTATAATGTCACCTAATGCCACTTACCATTTTACGGCGACTCTGATAATGTCCTATATCAATTTTAGCCATTCTCCACGCCAGTTAAATGCTAAATATATTTATTCAAATTTCGCTCGATGCTGTTTCATACATTTGCTTCTAATTTCCCTGAAAACAAATACGTGGACGTCTTTTCTCCCAGTTACAGATTAATATTAATGTGGGTTGGTCGTCAAACAGTCTCTGTAAAACGTGACACTGAAATCCCGTCCTCGGTATGACAACAAACTACATCCAGCAGCGAGGCCTCCAATCGAGAGTTTTTAAGGTGCATGCAACCACCTCTTAAATGCTGTTGCTCCCAGGTTCACAAAGACCCTGGTGGGTAGTAACTGTTTGGGTCACATCTATGGGCAAATTGTTAACCTCCAAACAGGACTCAAAACACTATGAAAGTATACAAATACGTTGGTGTAATGGATAGCGGCTTCGATTGAGGAATCGGAGAGTCGAGTTCGAATTTCTTACGTGCAGATACCATTGGGAAAGGTGTAACTCCTCTTCTCTCTCCAGCTATGGGTAAATAGCAGGAGAGACTGGTTTCTATAGCCTTGAATTCAAACCCGGACTGGAGCCCCTAAGGCGGATGGACAGCATTTTGTCCTTCCGGCAACTCCAGCAGCCGCGCTGGTACCAAACTGTATTGGATTATCCTCTCCTTTGGACTCTGCTAGCAAGGCCAAGAGGGTGAACTAGACGTCTGGGCAGCCCTAGTTCTCCATATATACCGCCGAGTCTCTTAACGCACCAAGCTACTCCATCGTCTCTCGGGGTGGACGGACGGATGGCGACGATGACATTTTTCTATTAAAAACTTCTAGTAATACATTTACAAAGTAAAAAAAAAAATTACTAGTAATATATATTTGAAGAAAAACATTACCACCAATACATTTATGGAAAAAAATAAATCTAAGCAATGACTTAAAATATTATCAACAATGCATTCATGGAAAAAATAATTATCAGCAATACACTTAAAAAAATACCAGCAATACATTTTCATATTTAAAAAAAACATACCAGTAATATATATTCGAAGAAGAAAAATTACTAGCAATACATTTTTAGAAAATAGATAAATAACAGCAATACACTTAAAATATTACCAGAAATACATTTTTGAAAATAAAATACCAGCAATACACTTCAAAATACCAGCAATATATTTTGAGGAAAAAAATGTCAGCAATACATTTTAAAATAAATTAATTGCAATACAGATTTTTTTAAAAATACCAGCAATACATTTTGGGAAAAAACGCTAGAAATACATTAAAAATTATCAGCAACAGATTAAACAGAATATGCTAAAAACTAGCAGCAATATATATTTAAAAAATACCGGCAATAAAGTTTTGGAAATACCTGCAATACATCAAAAATACGAGCACATCATTTTAGAAAAGAAATAACAATAATACATTTTTCGAGAAAAAAATGCCTGCAATAGATTTTAAAAAATACATACCATAAATTTGTAAAAAAGTAACAATAATGTTAAAAAAATACCAGCACAAATGTTTTGAAAAACAAAATTACAGCGATACATATTTGGAAAAGAAATTACTACTGCTTTAAAAAAAAACATTATCGGCATTAAATGACCTATAAGCTGTTGATATACCTTAAAACCAAACAAGACTAACTCTGAAGTCAAAAGAGCAATTTTGGCAGCAATATTCGAGATTCTAGAGAGAAAAATTGTTTGACATGACATACTCAATGAAATTTCCTTGTAGTAAACTGAGTAATTGATTCAATATAATTGTTCCAATTCATTTCAAGAAGGCACAATGATCTGCGATCCTGGAAGTTAGCATCTGCCATGCTGATGGAAAACAATAAAAAGATTCATACATTTTAAGGGAAGTACTTAAATCAATAAGCCATTTATTGCCCCTTTTAACAACAGATTGTCATTTTCGAGAATACTAAGTTGATGTCGTTGAAGTTTGCTTTTAGAATCAGGATTAAATAATAATGTTTCTTTTTAGATAAACACGATCAAAGAAAGAAAATACCCTACTATTTCAGCCAACAAAGTAAACCAAGTCCGATATACTTTAACTCAGATTGTAATCGAAAAGAATTTTACGCTTCCTAATTAATTCTTATTTTAAAGGTGTTGCATGTGTATTACTGAATTGTCGAATACGTTTGATTGAAAAAATGTAATTGAAATCCATTACGATTCCTAATTAATGTTTAAAGATAATTTAGATGCATGATAATGGACAAATATGTTTAACTGAGAAACACTAATCGAGAGTTTTCACGCTTCCTAAATACTTCATTTTGTAAATGAATACTAAGCGTGTAATATATTTAACTGAGGAATTTCAATTGTAAGGAATTACCGTTAGTAGTTGATCTTTTGAAAGGTATTGTAGGTGTATAATAAGTGATCGAATTTGTCTAATAATGAAGAGAATGAGTAATCTCTTACTGCGAAAACGTTATCTTTAACATCTGATAATCCGAAAAAGCTGCTAATTTCACCAACGGTTAATCCGATTTGGCTTTGAAATTACACAGGTCAGATTATAAAATATACAGGCGTGTTAATTGCATTGTTGAGGGTCATTTCCTTCTTTTTATTTCTTCATCTTTTTGTTATGACGTTTTGTCCATTCTTTTCATGATTTGTATTACAATTTCCTGTTCTTTCTCATACTTCTGGGGTTTTTTTTTGTATTTTTATGCAAAGCAAAGATAAAAAAAATGGAGGACTAGAAATGAAACACAATCAAGATTATTGTAAACAAAACAATATGAAGAAAAGAATTTGCGTTCAAATTTATAATCAGTATTCAATGCATCCGTTATCGCCCACCAATGCAGGACTGTTTGATACGTGTTCGGATTTATAACCTTATATTGCCTTTTCTAGATGATTTCCGATGCAATAATCATTTTACTCACCCCTGCCCTATGAAAAAAGCGTTCTTTTTGTACTATTTTTTTTCTTGAATTGCTTTTGTTTTATTAAGTCTCTCTTTATTTTTTAAAAATTTTGCTTAGCTCATTCCGAGTCTATGAATGGTTTGGCTTCAAGATACTTTGTTTTACTTGGAGATTTTTATCTTTCCTTTATGATTGTTTTCTTTATCATGTAACTGTCTTTTTGTTATATTCAAGTCTATTTCATATTTCTTTGTATAGAAATAACTTCAACTTTAAGTTATTTCCCTTTTCATGTGAACAAAGCGTGTATCGTTACTACCCAGTCGTCGGTATTTGAATGAAATCACAACCTTCGGCTTTAGTGAGTATTTTACTGTGAACCGCCTCAAGGTAAGTACGAAATGTAATGCAATTTGTATTTATTCAAATTTTTATGAATAATAAAAAGTAGTCTCACCTAGTTTTGTTATCCTCGTATGTATTTCAGTTCACTGGGACTGTAAAAGGACACTTGTATTGTCAATTGAATGAATCTTTCTTAAAGCTTACACCTGCGTACTTTTGTCATTACACATATATCCCGTAATCCATCGTGGGCTCGTTGACGCAGCACATTTATTACCCCCACAACTATAGAAATGGATATATTAATTGAAAAATACAGTGAAGGAAACCAATATGATTTTGACTTCAGTTTTATCCTTCACCTAGACTTGTTGCCCAAAGACTAAAGAACCTGATATGTTCCGGAAAGGGATATGTTTGTTCGAAGTAGCAAAGTGGTTTTGGACTACTGTAAACGCGTAGAACAATCTAGCAGATAATTGTAATGGACTGGTCCTCGTCGTAGTGGTAGGCACTGGGCGTAGGCAATAGGCGAAGACAATAGGCGTAGTCAATAGGCGTCGTCTATAAACGTAGTCCTGAGCCTCCACATCAGTCTCTATTTATGACACCAGAAAATCATATTACTGTGAGGGGGAACCCAGGTGTATGCATATACATCAGAACCTAATCTTGTCTACTCCCATTATATCATGAGCAATAATATGAAGTGAATATGTTCTCAGTCGAAATTTTACCGAGTCCGTTTTTTTGCATATTGCGCCAATTGCCATTATTACAGCTGCGGTATACAAGGTTCTTTGTAGTTGAGTTTTTTTTTAATTTTTTTTGAGATTTTTCCCATAAAAAGAGCCTTCTGCTAGAATTGATATTGTCCTGAGTCTGTCTATATTTCTGAGATGAGGTATTATGTACATTATTTACATAATTCGGACTATTGTCCTCATCTTTGATGAGGACAATAGTTCGAATAATGTAAATAATGTGATATCGTCCTGTATATATCTCAGGAAGAAATGTAATTAGGACGAAAGTTTCGTCAAAATTGAAAACAGGAACCCCTTCCGCTAGTAATAAAATTCAAAATAATAATGTTTGGAGATTGTCTTTTGAGATTTTTCCCGCCCTATTGTAAGGAAATCTTCGTTGTGCCAGTTGTTGCTTACAGGAGATATAATCTCTCACAATTAATATTATATCTTATTCAGATCCTGGCTTCGTCAATTAATGTCAGCCAGTGTATCAACCCCGAGCTTCTCAGCAACAACGTGGATCTTGGCAAAGACTGCATCATCCTCCCTGGGGTGGATGTTTCATATATCAGTGATACAGTCTGTTCTCACGTATGTATAGTACGTTCAACCGTATCGACCAAAGTGTGGCTCCATTTATAGATCAAGAGGTCATCTATCAAGTCAACCTATCGTCTAGTTTCTCTGAATGATACTGCGTGCAAAATCTACATTCACTAGGACGAGACGCAGTAAAATATGCTTTCGAGAGAAAAACAGTGAAGATATGTCCTAATCACTCGTTCAAGTGAACTACTTATTGATAAATAATAAGTCAAATTAACATAATTGCATGTGGTCGAGTGGTAAGAACGTTCGACAATGAGACCCGGGTTCGAATCTACAGGAACTGCAGTGTCGATCCCAGCGTTCGGCACCTTTAAAAAGTGCCTGAGAACAATACGATGGATCACTTGGGGACCGGCGATAGCTGTGCTAGCACAAAGTCACAGGTCATCTTGGCCGAGTGCTTGAGCGTGGTTATTCAAATTGTCGAGCACGATAGACATCACACTCTTTCCCTGTAACTGTAACAGCATAGTTGCAGTGTAAACCAAAGGTAGGCTCTGTGGATGTTGAATAAACACAAAAATGCTCCTGAGCAAGGATTAGTTAGCCGCTCTAGTAGACGTGTATTCTCGAATACGAGTGGCCAGCTAGACATATATTTCGAACATATGAGTGAAGAACGTTTGGTTTGGTTTGGTTTGTTTTATGGTATATCAAACTCAATGGGGTATTTAATGTCAACAAATTTTTTATTGCTGGTAATGTTTTTCTTCAAAAATCTATTTCTAGAAATATTTTTCCTTGAAGAAATAAATAGCTGGTCATATTTTTTTTATCAGAGAATGTATAGCTGTTTGTATTGCTAGTATTTTTAAAAAGTATTGCAGATAATTTTTCCTTCAAAAATTATTGCTGGTAATATTTTTTTATTACAATGTAATTCTGGTATTTAAAAGTATTTTTACACAAGTTTAGGTGTTAACTATTTGCCCATAGCTGGGACCCTAACAGCTGCTACAACCGCGGGTCAGGGTTGTCAGGGGAACATCAGCAATTAAGCGGTGGTTCCGCGCTCCTCAAAACCTCCTGATTAGAGGTCTTGCTGCTGGACGTAGTTTATCGTCTTACCGAGGACGTGGATGTAGGTTATCATCATACGCAGGGCGTAATGAAGAACGGGGGGTTAAACTAATAAAATATTTTGGTCATAAGTTAGCATTTTGATTTTAGTAATCTTCACGAATAGCCTTGCAAATATCCCACCTTTCATTTGATATGTTCTAATATATATATTACCCCCCATCTATGGGTTGAAAAGTAGGATTGTATAAATGTTATTTTCAAAAAAAGGGTTAATGCAGTATTCAATCTCAAAAATTAATTAAAAAAAAATTCATATAATCCATAATATATCACCGGTTTAAAGTGAGACTTGAGGTAACAGAAATATTTTTTTTCTACATAAGAATGGAAAGAATAGCATTGACGGAACATCTGAGTAATGATACCATTTTAAGAACAAAAAAAGACTGTTGTGCTTAGGATTAAAAAAAAGAGCAGATCAAATCTTTGGAACATAAGGACGAAAGAGAGATTGCAAAATTTGACCTTCCCAGGTTAGTCCTGGGTATGACGATAAACTACATCCAGCAGCAAGGCTTCTGGTTAGTAGACTGGAGGTTTTGACGAGCGTCGAACCACCTCTTAATTGCTGTTGTTCCCAGATACACCTACCCGGGTAGCACCTGTTACGGTCCTGGCTATGGGTAAATAGACAACCCCCTAAAAAATCAGTATACTATGAAAGTATAAAAATACATTTTTATAGTAAAGATACCAGCAATACATTTTTATAGTAAACATACCAAGAATACATTTTTATAAAAAACATAGCAATAATACATTTTTATAGTAAACATACCAAGAATACATTTTTATAAAAAACATAGCAATAATACATTTTTATAGTAAACATACCAAGAATACATTTTTATAAAAAACATAGCAATAATACATTTTTATAGTAAACATACCAAGAATACATTTTTATAAAAAAATATAGCAATAATATTTTTTATAGTAAACATACCAAGAATACATTTTTATAAAAAAACAATAATACATTTTTTTTATAAAAAAGCAATAATACATTTTTATAGTAAACATACTAAGAATACATTTTATAAAAAACATAGCAATAATACATTTTATAGTAAACATACCAAGAATACATTTTATAAAAAAACATAGCAATAATACATTTTTTATAGTAAACATACCAAGAATACATTTTATAAAAACATAGCAATAATACATTTTTATAGTAAACATACTAAGAATACATTTTTATAAAAAACATAGCAATAATACATTTTTATAGTAAACATACCAAGAATACATTTTTATAAAAAACATAGCAATAATACATTTTTATAGTAAACATACCAAGAATACATTTTTATAAAAAACATAGCAATAATACATTTTTATAGTAAACATACCACTAATATATTTTTATAGTAAACATACCAATAATATATTTTTATAGTAAACATACCAGCAACAAATTTTTATTGTAAACATACCAATAATACATTTTTATATAAAATTGACCAACAAAACGTTTTCATTGTAAAATTAATAACAAATAACTATTTATTGTAAAATTACCCAAAATATATTTTATCTGTCGTTGAAGGCATACAGTTGCGTTCAAAATATTTAGATTTCGGCGCTAAAAAACACATAGAGATTGATATGCCGCTAAACAAAATCAACCCAACAACATTCTCAGGAGATACTGAATGTAAGTATGTAGGAGGGCAACAGCAAAAAACATATCTTGTTTGTTAAAATGAACGTCGAGGACAGTAAGAAGACAAATATTATTTAGTCGTGTGTGTGTGGGGGTTGTGCGCGCATATGTGTAGACAGAGAGAGTATTAATTTTAAAATAACAGAATTTTTCAGTTTTCATAAAGTTTCCATTTATTTTACCACTGATTCTGTCTTAAGTTTCGTAGAAATAAATTCATTCTGCCGCTGATGTTTGATCATCCATCAAGTCTGCCTAAATGTTGAATTATTTCTCAAAGCACTGGCTTACTGTCTTAATTATTTTCTTTTTCTTTGTGGGTTGTTATTGTAAATTGTAAATGGCTAAGAGTCATTTTATGGTAGTTTGGTCAAATAAATTAAATGGGAGACGTCTACCCAAGGAGGTAGCGGAATGACTGATATAATGATTTACCAACTGCCCCACGCAGCAAGATGTGGCACAAGGCAGAGTTTTAAAGTGGTGTATCCGAGCTCGTACGCTCCGGCAAAAATTCCCTATAGACCACATAAAAACGTAGTCAGTTTCGCGAAACGAGTCTCTACCGTTCGGGCATAGCCTGGTCAGGGGGATACACTCTCACATGTGCCAGGTAATGACTGATATAGTTAATCGATTCATGATTTGATAGACTTATTTTGATTAGTTGTTTGCAGTTATCTATCTATCTATCTCTCTATCTATCTATATATGTATATATATATATATATATATATATATATATATATATATATATTCAAATATATTTAATTGAATCATATAGACATTATGCCTATTTATTTTATAATACGCATTTCTAGTTCTCTAATCAGTTTTTTATCATTAAGATGCACTCCATCAAGAAATGTGCTTTAGTTTTTTTCATACCCAAGTGCAATCGATATTCACTGAGATCATCTTCAGGGGTGAATTACTAAGATATACTTAGCTATGGAAACGTCCCAATCTAAGGCAGTTAACCAGAAATTGGTAGAAATGCAAAATTGTATTAAATGTTTGCTAACTGCTAACATGTCTGCTACACTTGTAATAAATTTTCTGAGTCTTGTTCAATAGCTTTTGATATGGAGGGCCTCGAGAAAGTGGATTTTTTGTTTATTATTTTTGTGGTATATTGGTGTTTTCAACAGTTATTTCCTAGTATTTTGAAGGTAGATAGGAATGTGTTTTTAGATGTTGTGGAAAAGAACTTGTATTCGACAAACAAAAGACGCCTTGATAATGTTGTTGTTATCAAACGAACATAAGTTCTTACAGATTTATCAGATACATTCTGCAGGAATTACATTTGAACTGATATGCAATATTGGTCTTTTACAAAACACGAGTTGACGGAAAAAGTTATTGCGTATGATTAAGTTGGTTGTGATGAATTTAGTACAATGATATAATTAGATTTATTATTTTACTTGGATCTGTCGGGAATATATTTTTAGCAATTTTTCATCTTGCTTATAGTTAGAATGCATTTAATTACGGTATAGAAGGTTGATATGTTTAAGCTTATATAAGGAAGTATGGTGTTCTGTTTGATTTATGTTAATATATGTAATGGCTCGTCTAAGTTGTTCATCAACGATGCAATAAGGAAAGTCATTATCAATGAGAGTTTGTTTAATTTAGTGTAGAACATTTTTTCGTGGAAGAGTTAACTTTTGCACGGTTTATTAAATGTTATGTAATAGCTACTTTGTTATTGTCAGTGCATTCGCTTTTATAGTTTAGCGGCAAGAAGTTGGTTTTTATACGGGGGAAAATGGTAAATGCATTATTATTACTGTTTATCACAATACATCAAGAAAAAAGGATTTTTATTAAGATTGTTAATTTCACATGTGTTATGGTCCAAGTTCCTTGTACCACGGTGATGGCCCAAGGTTAGAACCAATGAAAGAATAACCCGAACACAGGTATGGAATACAAAGATATATTACAACAAAAATATAATACAAAGAAATAGAAGTATTAGCAATGACTATCAGATTTGGTTAGAGTGAACTATGTTATCTCGACAAGTATCGTTATTCCAATGTCCTTACAATATGCTCTCAATTATCTCTCCTCCTCTTACAATATCCTCATACCTCTTGAGAGGCGCAGTATTTATAATGTCAGGAATAGTCCATTATTATTATAGGTAAGTTCCCATAACAACATGTAAAGTTAGGAAAGGAGTTTCTCTTAAGTTTTCTTGTAACTTCATGAATTTCATTTAAGTTTTTTTTGACTAAGATAAGAATATCATCTGCATATCTTAGGTAGGTGGAACGATTTAGTGGTGTTAAATATCTTATTCTTTTCAAGGTTAACCATGTAAACTGAACCCATGCAACCGCCATCACCTTGTAAGTATATATTAACTGACTAATTGACGGTATCTAAATGAACGTCCTTTTTCTAATTCTTTTCTTTGAATAACTATTATTATATCTTCTAAACTAGATTTGTTGGTGTTAAATCTATATAAATTGTTCACTCGCCAGTCCTATAATATCACCTGATAAGATGGGTTGATATGCATCAAAACACAACTGCAATTGTGTAGGGATTTTTGATATGGTTTTCGTATAATATCGTAAAATGAATAAAATTGGTCTACTTTGAGCCCTCTTTAAATTAAATATTACAAACGATGGAATTGTATTCTATTTGTTCTCATCTTACCTGGAAATATATATATATATATATATATATATATATATATATATATATATATATGCATTAAGAATTGGACAAAAGTCCGACAAATTATTAAAGACATTTTTATGTTTAACATTCTTTTTATAGATACAAGTATTTAAGTAAATGCTCTGTTTATAATAAAAAGTATTAAATAACATTTACCGGCCTGAATGTCCGAGAAATTTTCATGGAAGATTGAAGTTTATAAGCAGTAAATTTGACATTGCCTACCGAACGCTCATTTGTGGCCGAGTCGGTTAAGGCACGTCAACGTAAATGACGGTTCCTTATAGGATGCAGGTTCGAATCCTGTCAAAGGACGAATATTTTCTATGAAAACTTCTCGGACATTCAGGCCGGTAAATGTTATTTAATACTGTTTATTATAAACAGAGCATTTACTTAAATACTTGTATCTATAAAAAGAATGTTAAACATAAAAATGTCTTTTTTATATATATATATATGAAAAAATATAGTTTTAAGGTATGCCATATATATATATGAAGAAATATAGCTTTAAGTTATGCCATATTTATGGGATCACGTGCTCAATATCAGAGATAGAGCGTATGTAAATATAAAAGTGAACATTGAAGCCAACATTCAGTGTCGTCAGACCATTTCATGCTAGACTCAATCATCACGTTGTCGTCTCTAACTGTTGACTTCAATGTTCAATTGCATATATATATATATATGTATATATATATTAAGAGAGATTATATTTTACAGGAATGCTATTTTGTAATTGTAAAACAATTGTCTTTATTGTGAAGGGTATTATGCCTATATTGGCATGCAAACAACAAATGATTCATAAACCCGTCGGTCAGCCTAATACAATGAAAATTTCTTTTCGACCGACATGTCTTTAAAAAGGACTGACGTTCAGTGGATATATGTAATATGATAAAATAAATGATGGCTGACTGGAGGGAATATGTAACCTTTTTGCTGTTACTCGGAAAACCCGAATGAATCGCTGTAAGCCAATAATATGAAACGGAACTTTTACTTTCGGAGGAAGTTTGCACACACACACACACACACACACACACACACACACACACACACACATATATATATATATATATATATATATATATATATATATATATATATATATATATATGAATATTGCTGTCAAATATGGTCCGGTGTTCCTGTCGTATATTTAAAGATTTTTTAAGTGATCCAATGAAGAATCTCAACTTCAGTCAGTTTCTTACAGTCTTAAAGTAGATTCCCTGTACATTTTCTATAAATATTTTCATGATAATTTCTCGGATGTACTATTCGCTTTGGTACCTACGATTTAGGAATTTCAACGCAAGACTAGATTAGTGGTAAGCTCTCATAAATTCGCAGTCGATTTAGCTTGATGTAACCGAAAGTTCTGTGCTAATGCATTGTCAAACGTTATCTACTGTCTTCTTGATATATTTTTCTATAGTCCTTGCTCCTTAATAATTTTTCTCTTTACCCTTATTCACACTCAGTAACCTCTTGTGTGTTACAAGCGTTACAAGTGTTGTTGTCATGCATGGGGTGATATGATTTTATATATATATATATATATATATATATATATATATATAT